GATACTTGTGTGTGATACTTACTGTGATTAAGTGAGCGAATGTTTCCCTCAAACTCAGGAAGAAAGGGGTTTGCTTTGTTACATACCAAGAAGTTTTTTCAGGTCTTTAAGGGCAGACTTCTTTTTTTTTCTATTTTTTTTAAATATTTATTTATTTGAAAGGCAGAGCTGCAGAGAGGCAGAGGCAGAGGTGGGGGAGGGGTCTTCCATCCATTGGTTCACTTCTCAAGTAGCTGCTATGGCTGAAGCTGGGCCAATCTGAAGCCAGGAGCCAGGAACTTCTTCCAAGTCTCCCACGCAGGTGCAGGTGCACTTGGGCCATCCTCCACTGCTTTCCCAGGCCACAGCAGGGAGCTGGATCAGAAGTGGAGCACCCAGGACTGGAACCAGCATCTGGGCAGACTTTCTAAGATTCTGCTACTCTCAGAAGCCAAAACACATAAGCCCGGGCCCATCAGTGTTCAGCTCTGTGGCAACCGTGATCGTCTAAATCGAGTGCCGGGAAAGTGAGAGGTGAGGCTGGGAGTGGGGGAGGGGAGGACATGATAACTGGGGCAGCAGGAAGCATTCCCAAGGAAGAGGCGGACGTTGCTGGGTAGTTCTGGGGCTTGACCTCTTCTCAGTGCCAACTTCCTCCCACTGCTCACCTCCACCATCAGATTAGTGGGAGGCAAAACCATCAGTTACCACAAAACACCTCGTGTCAGCGAAGATTGCGAATGCCATCAGACTAGCAGGAGCATCTTGGATCCAACACCACAGTACCGTGGAACCCACCAGCATCCTGCACATTGTGCAGTCTGACCCATAATTTAATAGATAGGGGAACCACGGGCCACAGATTAGCCGAGGTCACAGCTAAAGCCATATGCTGCTATATCCGCTGCGAGTTTTTTTAATTCAGCTAAATTTTCCAACATTGTTGGTTGTGGCAGGACACGGGAGTAACACAAGGCAGATGATGGCTGACAAGAACAACATGTGTAGAGTAACTGCGTATCGTGTCTTCCGGGAGCTTCCTCAGAACGGCCCCTGGGACACGAAGTAGATGAGGAGGAGATGGCAGGAAACAAGGAGGGCGTGAGGCAGTGAGGCAGCTGGAAAGAAAGCCGGCCCCGGGCTCATGAGCAGTCTCCTGGGCCTCGCCCAGCTGGGGCAGTCTCAGCCTTGCTCTGCTGGGTAGGGCAGCTGGGGCAGCAACGGCTCCCTTGCCTCTTCCAGAAATCCCAAGAGGACAGGCCAGGGTGCAGGTGGGTGAAGACCAAAGTCACAGCCCCTGCAGGGAGGGACCTGGAAGCTTTGGGGGGGGGGAGGGCAGGGTCGGAAGAGACGCGGTGGGTACCGTTGCCGTCCCTCGCCCCACCCCTGACCGCGACCCTTGGCAGGTCAGCTCTGTGGTCGCACATCCTCAGGCAGGCGCTACCCTGTCTGTCTTAGCCCTGTCTGCCTAGATTTTTAATGTGTTTTAAATTTTGTATTGACCTGAAAAGCACAGAGACAGATGGACAGATGGACAGACGGACCTCCCATCCACTCCCATTCATCACTCAAATGCCCACAACAGCCAGGGCCATTAGAGTCGCAGGCATCCTGGGGGGATATTTTACCACCTGCTGCCATCATCCTCTTATTCTAGCTTGGGCCCTTCCTGCCACAGTTGGATCCATTGTTGCACTGACCTTTGAAAGTAGCCATGGAACACCTGGGCAAAGATGTATCTGTGTGAAACTACAGCCCGGGGGAAGACGCAAAGGTGACAAGGGCACTTCACAGATCTCTGCCTGGAGCATGTTGAACCCCCTCCATTTCTAATTCCAACTTCCTACCAATGCACAGCAGGGCGGGCAGCAATGATGGCTCAAGTACTTGGCTTCCTGACACCCATGTGGGAGACCCAATGAACTTCCAGGCTCCTGGCTTCTGCCTGGTCATTGCACGTGTTTTGTGGAATGAACCAGAAGATGGGAGAGCTCTCTCCCTCCCTCTCTCTCTAATTCTATATCTCTAACTCGATCTCTATCTCTGACTCTCTCCATCTCCATCTTTATCTCTATCTCTAGCTCTAATTCTAACCCTGTCTCTATCTCTAGCCCTATCTCTATCTCTAACTCTCTCCATCTCTAGTTAGCTCTAAGCTTATCTCTATCTTTAACTCTATCTTTAGCTATAACTCTCTCTCTCTCTCTCTCTCTCTCTCTTTCTCCATCTCCACCTCTATCTCAAATATAATTTTTAAAGCTCTCCAGGAAGACAGGCTGTGAGAACATAACCCCCACAGCTCCTGCCTGAGTCCCACCCCATGCATGAAGCCTGGGGACATCCCCAACTGGTGTAACAGACTTGCTCTGCTCCCTTTGGGGTGCAAGGAGGGTATACCATCTCCATGGACACCAGCAGTATGGATAGTGCCTGGTCCACCGTGGGTGTTAGATGTCACCCTTCCTCGATTTTAAAACTTGCACTTACTTGAAGGGCATCCTTTTAGGACTATAGCCAAGATTTTCCATGTACGGAAGAGTTAGGGATAGTGTGTTTGTTTCTGCTCTCCCTTTTTCCTTACCCTGTGCACCTAGCACCATGGCTTCCCATGAGGAAGGCATAGAACACAAAGATGCTGATCCATGGGGCAAGTGAGGCCAGCACTCGCACAAAGTAACCTTGGGAGTCAGGAGAACGCCAGGCTCTACCCTAGGCAAGCTGTGTGCCAGCAGACAAGCAACCTCATTGCTCTGATCCACCCACCCCCAACTGCAAGCTCTCCTTTGCAAATTTTTGGCAGAGCTTACAGTAAAATGAATGTGAGCTGATAGCAACCTCTGTGAACCTCTCACCACGCCATGTCCCCAGCAGGTGCCATGCAAAAGGTCAGTGGCTCTCCCTCACCCCTGCATTCTCAGCTCCTCCCACACCTGCCCGCAAGTGCACCTACCCACACCCTCATGTGCACACACACGGGCAGAACCTCACTTATTTCTGACCTCCCATTGGTGCAGCTGCGACCCAAGCTCAGAAAGGAAAAAGAGGAGATCTCTCCCAACACAGCAACATCACCAACCGGGCACAGCTCTCTGCTGTCTCTAAACAGAGCTGTTGCTTGTGTGAGGCCACAGGGGAGGGTGGCCTGGGCCTCTGCGCTTGATGTGCGTAAGATTGGGAAGTGGGGGGAGGCGGGGGAGATGCACAGGGGCGGATCCCTCGCTCCTCTTCTTGAACTGCTGCAGGTGGATCTCGGGCTTTCCGTCCTACTGATGGGATCCTGAGAGGCCTGTGGAAGGTGTCGCCTGTGCCTTTTTTGGGGCAACTTTGCTCAAACCAATTCTGGATTCCAGTGGCAAGTTTTCAGTTGTCTCGGAACGCTTTCCCAGCCTCAAGTTGTATGCGTTTTAGCCAAAGAAGCCGATGATCAGGACTTACATCCTGCTAATGGAGCCCCTGGGAAGAGCCATGGGACAGGACCCCTGTCTCAAGCCTCCTGCTGGGATAGAGAGGAAACAGTGTGCACAGAGCAGGGCCAACAGGCGTCCATCTGTGTGTAGTGGCGGAAGTCCCCGTAGATCTCCCAGGCCCCGCCCACTGTGCACAGGGGTTCCCACATGATGTGGTGAGCAGCTTCTGTTTTCCCTCCAGATCCAACCTCCAACCTCCTCCCCGCTGCCCTCAGTGCCTGGGAGCCTGGACCACGGGACCTAGCTTGTTACTGGAGTCAGCTAACAGGAGACGGGGCCATCTACAGCCCCGTGTTGGTCCTAGAGCGGTGACTGCAGACTGGTGGCTTCCCATGACCACAAGTCCCTCCAGGCTGGTTGCGACACTGTCCCCTGCCCTTGTTCCTTCAAGGTCAGGGCTGGTTCCAGCTTCCCCTGATCACTGTCTTCCATGGCTGTCAAGGTTTTTCCTCCAGCTTTCTCAAGGCCCCTGCAGTCTCCCAGTTTCACTGTGCCACCTGTTTATGCAGGAGCCTGGGCCGGTTCAGTAAATACCAAATGAACGTGGCAGTCCACGTGCGTGCTGGGGGACTCGCAGAGGCCAAGGGTGCACCACCCACGGGGCTGGGCGGGGACTGCTGAAGGCAGCAGAGGAAGGGGCTGGAAGCAGAAGTGGATGGAGAGGCCGCATCTCGAGGCAGAAGGAGAATTCTGGCCTGTGCCTGGGCGGTCAATTTCAAATCCTCTGCCTCAGCCTCGGCAAGAGGAGGAAGCCCAGGAAACGTGGCCCGGATTCTGCCACAAGATCAGGAAAACCGCAGTCCAAATGGAGACACAGTCCCTCGCTCCACCGGCCAGCTGTGGCCGCAGAGCCCAGTGAGGATGGACTCTGAGAGGCGGACAGAGAGAGGCACACGCTCGGCTCTCCCGGGCTGTCACACAGCAGAGAGCAGGGCGCGGGGTCAGACTCAGGGCCCAGTGCTCCTGACAAAGGCAGTCCCGGGCCCTGAGCTGAGAGCCAGCGGCTGGAGATGCCTGGAGGAAATGGCCAGCAGGGCTCGGGTCTGGGGCACCAGCGAGCAAAGGCAGCAGAACCACAGCCCTCCCCGGGACAAGCAGGAGAAGGAGAGCGCAGGCAAGCAGGCACACGGCCGCTCTCCCGCTCTCCGTGGCAGGCAAGGTGTTTCCAAGGCGCTTCGGCAGCCTCCACGGTGGACCACTTAGGCTCCCTGATTGCATGTAAATGCATGCAGGCGTCCTGCAGTTCACTATCAAGCTGGCAGCTGCCTGAACCCCGAAAAGCACAGAGCGAGGATGTGCCAAAGAGCTCCGGAGGGAGGAGTCTGGCACACCCTCAGGTGAACGCGGTGCGCAGAACCCCGGAATCGGCCCCATGGTGTCTCTGCACAATGCTTGGCTGTGGCCTCAAAGGCAGACAGAAGATGTGGCCCTGCGTTATGGACTCGTCACACACCCTCGTCCAGTTTTGTCTGGAGAGATTTATCATTTCGTCCATGCTGACTCTTAGCCTCTCTCAAATGTACAAGCTCTGAAACAGCAATACTTCCTTTTGTTGAGTCTTTTAATTTTTTTTAGAGAATTTATTAATTTTTTGAGAGGTATAGTTACAGAGAGAGAGAGACAGAGAGAAGGAGAGAGAGGTCTTCCATCTGCTGGTTCACTTCCCAAATGACCACAATGGCCAGAGTTGGGCTGATCTGAAGCCAGGAGCCAGGAGCTTCTTCCCACGTGGGTGCAGGGGTCCAAGCACTTGGGCCATCTTCTACTGCTTTCCCAGGCGCATTAGCAGGGAGCTGGACTGGAAGTGGAGCAGCCAGGACTTGAACCGGCGCCTATATGCTTCTGTTCATTCTACATTGTGCTTCTTTCAGGTTTCTGCAAGTCTCCCTCCTCTGCACTCCCACTCTCAGTTCCCAGGGTTGGACCACCTTCGCCTCTGGGTCTCAACCATCTGGTCTACCTTTGTTGAGTGCACATTTACTGTGTACCTCAAACGAGGCTCCTCTACCTTCCTTCCCTGGCTTCCCTGGGCTGTCTCGGTTTTTCTGACCTCTTTGCTGCCTTTTCTAAGCCATCTCAACAGCCTGCCGCGGTGGACCGGGCACAACCCCGTTCTCACGTCAGAGATGAAGGGGGAGCTGCTGCGATGTCGCCACCTCGTAAGGGCACTGAGCACCGGCCCTTGCAGGCTGCCTACCAGCCAGCTGATCCTGGGCGCACTGACAGATTTCCCCGAGCCTCAGTCTCCTCGTCTGCAGAATGGGCATGCAGCGCTTCTCGCAAAAGATGGGTTGGAGCACGGGAGGAAACGTTTGCTCAGGATGCAGGAGCAGCTCTATGGAGGCACGCAGGCCCCGTCTGCAGAAACTCGAATCCTCCACAGCAAGAAGGCACCAGGTTGCAGATAAAGGACAGGGTTGGCCAGGCGGGAGCCAGGGGCTCGGCTCGGGGAGGCCCCCTGACACCGAGCAGACATGAACCTTGCCCCCACAGTGGGATGCTCAGCCACCTGTCCCTTTCTGGCCAGTCTTCCTTCAGAGAAAACCCATGCAGGTGCACGGACATCAGGGCTAAGCCCAGAGCCATGGATGGACTGGGCACTACGAATATTAGGCTAAGCCCACCTCTGGCCAGTGGCCATTTTCTTCCTTTGCATTATTATTTGCTTACTTAAGAGAGAGAGAGAGAGAGAGAGAGAGAGAGAGAATCTTCCATCTGCTGGTTCACTCCCCAAATGGTGGCAATGGCCAGGGCTGGACCAAGCCAAATCCAGGAGCCAGGAGCTTCTTCTGGGTCTCCTACACAGGTGAAGGAGCCCAAGCACTTGGGCCATCTTCTGCTGCTTTCCCAGGTGCATTAGCAGGGAGCTGGATCAGGAGGGGAGCAGCCGGGACTTGAACCTTCATTTGTAAGGGAAGCCAGCGCTGCAGGTGGCAGCCTAACTCAGTACGCCACAATGCCCGCCCCGATTTATGAAACTGGAAGGTGCGTTGGTTTGTCAGCGTTCAATCCCCTCTGACCTAAAGGTAGCATGTTCCTCTAATGGATACAGCAGCTTTCTAACGTTCAACAGAGAATAAAAGTCACCATAAGCAACAGACACTCAAAGTCCTTTAGAAAGAACCGGGTTGGAGCTGTGCAGAGGAAACTCAATATTTAAGGTCTGCTCAGGGGTCGCTGGGCAGGGGCCCCAAAGGGGCAGAGTCTCCCGGGGAGCAGAGGACCTGCAGGTGCTGGAGGAAAGGCAAGGAGGCCCCGCTGTGACCTATCAGTGCCAGCTGCAGAGAGCAACTTGGGGCCCCCACGTGTTCCCCACAGGCTGAGGGCTGACTTCTGTGCTGTGCTATGTGCGAGGAACCGAAGACTTGAAAGCCTAGGACAACTCCAGCAGGGCAAGGGGTGGGGTGTGGCCAAGGGGGTGCACTCTGGTTCGAGAGTCAGGGGTTGCCCCCTCCCAGAGCCCCTCACATCCTTGCTACTCACCTGCCAAGGGATAGGTTTGACGCTCTGGGCCTGCCGGTTTCCGATTACCATGGCAACTGCATAGATTTCCCCGGGCCACCCACGTTGACCAAGGTGATTCCAACTGGGAGACCCTCCAGAGACCAAATCATCTGTAAATCTCTTCCAGACCCAGCGAGATGTGGCCATGTGCCCATTCTCAGAGACAGCAACCCTGCCACCAGCTCACCTCCCACCTGGGGTTGGACCAGCCTCCCCGCCCCCCAGCACCGGAGTCTGATTAAGAGCCCACCTGGACTGCTTTGGCTTCCTTAGCCAGAGGGTCTGGCCTGCATTCAAGTCAAATCACAAGGAGTAAACAGCTATCAGTCATTCAGAGGTGGGAGACTGGGGGGGGGGGTCCTGGGGAGGAACCCCACCTCTCCACGGTTCCAGCCAGGGGCTCCTGCTCAATAGCATTCCATCTTCTACTCCCACTTCCTGCTCCGGTAGGTTGCTCTTGAACTTGCTACTTGATTGAGGCTTCGTGCAGCCTGACCAAAACCCTAACACCTTCTTCCAACATAGCTGGAGCCGCACGCTGCTGTCTGCCCAAGGCTTTCCTGCTAAAAATAATATTTGCCGAGGGAAGCAGCCATGACTCCCAGCAGGTCTGGCCACTTGGCTCCTGCAGGCTGCTTCTGCATAACCCAGCTCCTCCTCACACACAGCCCTGTGGCCGTGCAACCCAGACACTCCAGTGGGAAGCTGGAGATGGGAAATGGGGCTTTTTTTTTTTTTTTTTTTTTGAGCACTATGAATACTCTCACTCAGAATGGCTCGGGGTAAGGACCAAACCCATCCCGTCCTGGAGCCCGTGCTGCTCTCCCTGCGCCTTCACACCACTTGGGTCTCCCTTTGCACCTGCAGATCGATTGCACGCTCCCGCAGACCCGATTGATTGCTGGTGCCTGCTGAGGCTCCCTCTGCCTTCTGCCACCTTCCCCCCTGCACTTTCCCCTCTTCACTGCCCCCTTGCTTTTCCAGGCTCACGCAGCTCTTGCTTGCCCCGGTCCTTTAGGGGGACTCCTCACAGCAGCTCTGCCCCACCCCCCCTGCCGCCCCTGCTGCAGGAACACGGAAGCGGCAGTTGGCTTCAAACAGGTCACAACCCAGACCCCTGCTCTGCAGAACCCAGAGATGCTCAGAATCCGACTACGCGGGTCCCCCTCCAGCAATGGCTCCGGAGGCGCCCCCTGCGGGCGGCCGCTGTGCCATGTGCTTCTGCGAGGGAATCTCTGCCCTGTCAAGGTGCTGGCCGCATGCTGTGTCTTCCTGCAGACAAGCAGAGGGAGATTCCCCCACGGTGGCTTGGTTTGCTCAAGGACCCTACAGGGCACAGGCAGAGCTGAGATTCTTAGACCAGTGCATCGCGCCCGAATCACAGTGCCCACCCGTGCGGGGCCAGAGGCCCTGCCCAGGGGGAGATGTGTGGACCTGAATGCACAGCCGGCGATGGAGGCCTTGCAGGGCAAGCAGTGACCTGACTACAGTATCTGTTGGGGCCAGCGCTGTGGCGCGGTAGGCTGAACCTCCACCCATATAGGCGCTGGTTCATGTTCCGGCTGCTCCTCTTCCGAGCCAGCTCCCTGCTAACACACTTGGGAAAACAACAGAGTATGGCCCAGGGAGACCTGGAGGAAGTTCCTGTTTCCTGGCTTCAGATCAGCCCAGCTCCAGCCGTTGCAGCCATTTGGGGAGTGACCTCGCTGTGTCTCTCTCCCTCTCTCTGTCTGTGACTCTGCCTCTCAAACAAAAAAATAAAAATATAAAAAAAATAAAGTAGCTGTTTCTGGAACAGTGTCTGGGATCCCCCTGGGAGGGAGAAGAGGGAAGCTAGGCTCACATACAGAAGAGTGGGTATGAGCAGCTAACTTGGTGGACAAATCCTCCTCTAGGCACAGGCTTAAGGCAACTCCTATGAGAGTCCAGTGTGCACCTCCCGCAACTGAGCCCTCCACTGGCCCCTTCTCTCACAGCCCCCGGCTCTCACACAGGCAAAACAGGGCAGGAGTTTTTAAAAACACAAAAGCCACCATTGATCAACCTCCCGGGGGAGCCTGCGGTGTGCAGAGTGCAGCCCGCAACCCCGACGATGCCCCCCCGCCCCCAGCAGCTCGGACTTGCGCAACCCTGCACAGCCGGACTGCGTCAGCGCCCAGGGCCACCCAGCTCCGGATTCTCACCAGCAGGGTCTCACCTCAAGGATTTTCCACGGTGTGCAGAAGGCTTGGCCCGGTTTGGGCTCATGGAGACCGTGTGTCCTATCAAGGGTAGTCAGGGGTGGGAACTCTCCTCCGCCCAGCCTGAAACAATTACCGAAAGCAGAGCTGCAGGGGCATAGCTGCTTACGAGAAAACAGTCCCTGCTGAGGTCTCCACGTTTGGCTCCTTCCCTTCCCTCCGCTGATTTTCCCCCACAGAGACCACATGCGCTGGGCTCAGGGTCAGCTCGTGTGCTGACCCATGGAGCTCATCAACTCTGTTCCCTCACCTGCCACTCCCATCTCTGCTACAACTCCCCTACCTCCAGCTGTGGGTTCCGGTTTGCAGAGCTCCTCGCACGCACAGTCTTATTTTATCTTCTCGACTATCCTCAAATACCGGTATCATTCCTATTTGGCAGATTAAAAAACCTGTACTCAAAGACGCTCGCTTGCCCGATGCTGCAGGCTCAGAACCCGGGATGTCCGCTGGTTCTCCCCCCTCCCCCCCAGTTTGCTTCCTGCCAATCACTGCATCCAGAGTGCCCAGTGACTCACACCAGACTCATGGCAGACACCTCCGCCGCCACCTCCCCAGCCTCCGTCTCCTCCGTCACCAAGGCCTCTCTTTTCAGGCTCCAAATCCCCCCCCACCCCCTGCACCGCTATCCTCTAAGTCACTGTTCTCTCCCCGCTCCAAGGCTCATAAGCCAACCTCTCATCCCGTCTCCCAGCACTACGCTTGCCCCATGGATGTCCATTCTCACACCACCTCGAGTGGTGTGTTCAGAGGTGAAAATGTGCTCCTGGCACCCCCTAATTTATCACTCCCAACAGAGTCTGCATCATCACTGATGAAAGAGGAAGGAAGGAGAGGGGAGGGAGGAGGAGGAAGAGGAGGAGGAGGAGGAGAAGAAACAAAATGTTTAACTGGGCTGCTAGGCACACTGGGGTGGATCTCCTGTCTAGCTCTTCATATTCACTGCATGTAACTCAACTCTCTCTCTCTCTCTCTCTCTCTCTCTCTCTCTCCCTATCATCTGTATTTATCTATGTATCATCTATCATCTGTATCTACCTAACATCTTTATATCCCTATCATCTCTCTATATATATTTCCTATGAGCTAGCTCCCTGTCATTGATCTATATCATCTATCGACCTATAATCTATGTATACCTATCATCTATTCTATTTATAAGCTATCTACCTAACATCTATGTATCTATATATCTATTTCTATCTAATCTATTATCTATCAGCTATCTCCCTATCATCTGTCTATATCTATCATCCATCTATGTATATTTATTGTCTATTCTATCTGTAATCTATCTACCCACCTAACATCTATCTATCTATATCTATAATATATTCTATTTGTAATTATCTATCTATATCTGTCACATATACACTTATCATCTGTGTATATCTATCATCTATATTTGTCTACTCTGTCTACTTATCATCTATCTACATTATCTACCTATCATCTCTATCATACATCTACTTATAATCTCTCTATATATAATGTATCATCCATCTACACCTATCATCTCTATCATCTATCTGTCAGTCATCTGTTGGTCATCTATCTTTCTCAGTCCATGTCTCTTGGCTCAGCCCTACAGCCATCCTTCAGTCCTTCAACACACTAAGGACTTCCCGCTCGGGCAGGACCTGCACCTGCTACTCTCAGTGCCCGCGATACTCTTCGTCTCACTCCAACATCATTTGGTTTAGTTAGCTTTCACTCAAGATTTTGGGTGAAATACTAAATGTCACCTCTTCAGAGAAACCTTCCTATTTTTCTCACTATACCTTCTCATGTTTCCCTACACTCTTCCCTCAGGCTGAGCACCACAAGTTTGTCATCTAAGTAATCGTAAAGGTTAGTGCTCAGCACAAAGATACTGCAGAAGGAGCAGCTTCAAAGGCCCAGTGACCTGAAGCAGCAGTCCACTGTACTCACAGGTGCCGTGCGGTGCGGGCTAGCTGTGTGGGATTAAAGCCTCAGGCTCAGCTGCTGTGTTTTGCTTCCAGGGGCGGGGCTGAGGCATCTCTGTCACTCCCTCAGGTCTGTGAGCCAGCAGGACCCACTTCTGCTGCACCTGCTTCTCATCATCTTCAAGCCAGCCACCTGCCGCTGGTTCTTTCCATGGGGACGGCAAAGACAGAGAAGGATAAACAGATGTGTGCAAGGCCAAGGCTTGGACTGGACACACTGCCATAGCTGTCCCATTCCCCACTGGCCCACGCCCAAGTCGCAGAGAGGGGAAAAGGCACCCCATCCCTCTCAGTAGGACAACAGCAAGGTCACAGACATGAGGAAGAGGCAAAGCACTGGGGAAGCCATGCACTCTTGCCAAGTATTCTTGCAACTCCATCTCCCCCTTTGAAACTTTGCAGTGTTTTCTGCACTGCACAGCAAATGACCACAAATTCAGTGGCTTAAAACAGCAGGTGTGGGGTGGGCGCTGCAGTGCAGCAGGTTAACCCACCACCTGGGACAACCACATCCTTTTTTTTAATGATTTATTTATTTGAAAGTCAGAGTTATACAGAGAGAAAAAGAGAGGTGAAGAGAGAGAGAGAGAGAGAGAGGGAGAGAGAGAGGTCTTCCCTCCGCTGGTTTACTGCCCAGTTAACCACAAAGGGCAGAGCTGTGACGATCTGAAACCAAGAGCCAGGAGCTTCCTCTGGGTCTCCCACATGGGTGCAGGGGCCCAAGGACTTGGGCCATCCTCTACTGCTTTCCCAGGCCACAGCAGAGAGCTGGATTGGAAGTGGAGCAGCCAGGACTTGAACTGGCACCCATATGGGATGCCAGCGCTGCAGATGGCAGCTTTACCCACTTTGCCACAGCGCTGGCCCCTGACAACCACGTTCTGTATCAGAGCGCCTTCCACTTCTGGTCCAGCTCCCTGCTAATGCACACTACGGGAGGCAGCAGGTGAGGGGTTCAAGTCCTTGGGTCCTGCCACCTGCTTGGAAGACCCAGGGGGAACTCCTGGCTTCTGCCTTCCACGTGGCCCAGCCCCTGCTGTTGTGTGCATTTGAAGAGAGTGAACCAGAGGCTGCACAGGCTCGGTGAGGCTGTGGGTAGGCTTAGTCTCCTCACTGCCGGAGGCTGTGGGTTCCGATCTTCTTGCTGGCCTGTGCCGAGCAGCTGTTTGTGTCTCCTGGGGAGGGGCACAGGACCACCGTCTGCTGGTACGTGACCCTCTCCTGGGCTGCCAGCACTTGCCCAGACTAATCACGGAAGTCTAGGAGCTATTCAGGGACCCCCGCCGCACTCGGGACACAGGACTCTCTGTGTTGTAGCCTCAGGGCTCCTAGAATCTGCCTGCCCCTTCCTCCCAAGAGGAGAAGGAATACACGGAGGCTGAGCTCAGGCTGGCCACGCCGAGCACGAGACTTCCGTTTGTATTCATCCTGTCGTTCCCGATACATACCTGTCAAAGGCTCGGTGATGGGGCCGGCGCTGCAGCGTAGCAGGCTAAGACTCCACCTGCGACGTCGGCCTGTGGGCGCTGGTTCGAGTCCCGGCTCTCCTCTAGCAGTCTAGCTCTCTGCTATGTCCTGGTAAAGCAGTAGCAGATGGCCCAAGTCCTTGGGCCCCTGCACCCACATGGGAGACCTGGAGGAAGCTCCTGGCTCCTGGCTTCAGATCAGCTCAGCTCCAGCCATTGCGGCCAATTGGGGAGTGAACCAGTAGATGGAAGACTCTCTCTCTCTCTCTCTCTCTCTCTCACACACACACACACACACACAGGCCATCTTCTACTGCTTTCCCAGGCCACAGCAGAGAGCTGTATCAGAAGTGGAGCAGCTGGAACTCGAACCAACGCCCATATGGGATGCCGGCACTGCAGGAGGCAACTTTACCTGCTACGCCACAGTGATATTCACATTTAAACCAAGGCTTCTAGTGAAGCAGATTGCCCACCCTGCTGTGGGTGGGGCTTAGTCAATTAGTCAAAGAAGACCTGCGAATTCCCCCCCTCTGCTGGTCTGGGCCGCGCCCTACAGTGAATTCTTTCTGTCGGCCTGGGCACATCCCGCGGGCGCCATGCCTCTGGAGAGCGCTGACGGGCACCGTGACCTTCTGGGCTTGTGGTGACTCAGCGTGTGGTATGCGTGAAGCGTGCAACATGAAATGATTGGGTTTGTCACATCCTCGGTAAGACAGGGGGCCAGCCCAGCTGCACAGGCCACAGCTGACCCAAGTCTGGCCACGTCCTGTCTGTTTGTGCTAACATCAGGGCACACAGAAGCCAACAGTGCCCACCAGGAGGTGGGCAAAGCACACTGGAAGTGGCTGAAGTTTATTTGGGATCTCCTCCCAACAGTGTTCCAATGCCTGTGCCAGCTAAAAGCCCGAAGAAGAGAGAACATTCTGGAAGACAGGAAAGCCTTGCGGATGTAAGAGATCATCTCAAGGAGCAGATCCAGCGGCCGTGACACACGCATGGACAGGGACAAACTGGGGGAAGAGGGGTCTTCCTCCAGGCTACCCCGTGGTCTGTGGTCTGCAGCATGGCCATGTGGCCGTGGCTGACCAAGAGCCACAGAGGGAGACACTCAGCCATACATCCACTCTGTTTGAGTGACTTGGTGCTGTCTAAACAGGAGAGGAAGGAACACACACACACACACACACACACCCCGCCGCTGGGGATGGGGCTGACCCAAGTCTCAGACAATCTGGAGTGCGAAGCTGCCTTGGAGTGGAAGTCTGCCTTTGCTGTCTTTGGTTTCACTGCCAGGTGGAAGATTACTCTTTGGTGGAAAAGAATACGCTCACTAGGATTCGACGGGCTCTGTGCTCAGACAGGAAGATACAGGAGAAGGAGGAACTCCCTAGCGACACTCAGAGACCCGGGCTCTGGTCCCACCCGGCCCCTTAGCCTTTTGCTAAGCACCTTGGCTCTCTGGATCTCTTTCCTCTTCGCTGCAGAACGAGGTCTTTCAGTTGTACACAGCTCATTGGGTTTATTTGAGCTAAGCCATTCTAAGAAAAAAGACACCTCCAAATGCAATGGCTTTAAAAAAAACTCAGAAAGTGCTCCATTCTCATGGAACCAACAAGTGCGTGCGACGGGCTGAAGGGCCAGCCCCGCTCAGCAAGGCCACCCAGAGAGCCAGGCCCCGGGGTCAGCACTTGACTGTCCCCACTGCGGCCGCGGCAGCAGAAACAGGGAGCAAGCAGGTCCCAGGCCCTCCTCTTTTGGAGGTCAAGGACTTCCCACTCTGCTCGTGCCCCCGCTGTACAAGCACTCCCGGGACCTGCACCCCTGGGCCAGCCAGGTAGGCGGCTACGTTGTTTCCTCAGTGTCTTTCTTCCCGTCTTCCCTGGAACGTCACCTGTCCTGGGACCTCCCAGGCCACTCTTCAGACTGCTCTCTCGACCATCTCCTTTCGGAGCTACCTATGGTGTTGGTCTCACACCGCCCAGTGCCTTCTCCCTTAAATCTCTCCCGTGATCCTCATCCCATAGGGTGCTCAGCCATGGTGGCCAGAGTCAAGGCCAGGGCTGCAGGTCCCTCCCACATTTCCCACGTCTTACAGAAGCTGAAAGAGACTAGAGACAAAGCTTGATTTTCAGTAGACTCCCTGTGGCCACACTCTGTCTTCCTAGGTCTACAGGGAAAACCCTGGCACTTTTTTTTATTTGAGAGGTAGAGTTACAGACCAAGAGAGGGAGAGACAGAGAGAGGCCTCCCATGGCTGGATCACTCCCCCAAAAGGCCACAACAGCCAAAGTTGGGTGGATCTGAAGCCAGGAACCAGAAGTTTCTTTCCAGTCTCCCACATGGGTGCAGGGGCCCAAGGACTTGGGCCATCTTCTACTGCTTTCCCAGGCCATAGCAGAGAGCTGGATCGGAAGTGGAGCAGCCGGGACTAGAACCGGCGCCCATATGGAATGCCGGCGCTGCAGGCAGTGGCTTAGCCTATTACGCCACAGCACAGGCCCCCAAATATCACCACCTTCATGCTGCCCCTGAAAGTGGCCGCAGCAAGCCCCACAGCCCCCGGAGGTCTGCAGGTGCATCTCTGTGCTTTGGGCCCCGCACACCGGCTAGCATTGCCCAGCCTCACACAGCGATCCCAGCAGCAGCAATGCCCTTGGAGGCGGTCCTGCCCTGTGCTTCTCTTGACCCTTGGTCCACCTCTTCCTCTTCTTCAAGCTAGGGCTCTGTTGGCTCGGGGTGACTGTCGCGCAGAGAGGAGGGAGCCTCCCTCGCTGGAGGAAGAGAGCAAAGTGTGCAGAGCTAAGCGGGAGGAGGAGGCAGCCAAGGAGAAGCTGAAACAGAGCAGAGGCGGGGCTGGAACGGCGCTCCTGGGGCACAGGGTACAGCCAGCTGGCTGAGCAGCCCTGGAAGCAAGAAAACCACGGACTGATGGGCTTCGGTGCGCGTGGGGTCGCTGGAGAGGGAAATGCGGCGAGACCGGAGGAGAGGCGGACGGGGCAGAGACCCAGAGCGTGGGTGACGGGCGCAGCCGCGGGAGCCCCAGGGCCGTGCGTGCAGCGCAGGTGTCGCGTTCCTTGGCATCAGGACTCAAGGAGCCGCTCGGCGGAGCCTGAAGTTCGCCCCCGGCTTGAATTTGCTTGGGCCAAGAAGGAGCACACATGTGAAACGGTTTTCCATCACAACACACGACTGGAGATACTTGTCCCCTGTTTGGGATCCAAAACCAACCACAGGATCACTTCCAGGCTTGGGGGCAGGGAGGGGGCGGGGAGCGGGGAGGAAAGGCTTTTTCCAGTAACTCCACGGCTCCTAAAACGCCACAGAAGCCCAAGACCCAGGCTCTGTGTCTTCGGTGAAGTTCCCAGGAGTGAGAGGCGCTCAGAGCCCTGTGAGCTCTCCCACACCCCAGCAAACACCCCAGAAGTGAAATCAGATCATCTTCATCATCGATCATCAACTCTCTAATGGGCCAGAGCACCTGTGTGTGTTGGCAGTGACAGCCCAGGAGGGGTCCTGGGAGTTTGCATGTGACTTCCTGGGACTTATCAACGGGGGTGGATTTATCCACAAACCTGTGACCACAGGAAACCACCCACTGGCTCTGCCTCCGAAGTCATTTCAATTCCCTGGGCGTGATAAGGGACAGCCTGGAGCTCCCCGCCCAGGAAGGCTAGGGAGCATCCTCCTGTGTTCACACCTCACCTGGTGTGAACTTCCTGTCACCCTCCAGACACGCCCCCTCCGCTCACTCTAACCTGTCCACTGCCAGGAGGCAGGGCTTACATAGGACACATCCCCTCCCCCCACCCAAGCCAAGGAGCCAAGTGTTTCTCCACCTCCTACTAGGGCTCCAATCACCTCCCCTCTCCAACCTGAAAAGTGCCCCAGTCTGGAATAAACCAGATCCTCCCCCTGGCCGTGCCCACGCTGTGGCTCCCCAGGATGCAGGTTTAAGTCCAGGTCTCCAGAACGCAGTGCCTGGGTGACCTTGAGAGCAGGTGGGAAACATCTTACCTTCTGCTCATTCTTTCTTTTTAAGATTTTATTTATTTATCTGAGAGGTAGAATTACAGACACACAGAGACAGAGACAGAGAGAAAGGTCCTCCATCCACTGGTTCACTTCCCAAATGACCGCAACGGCCAGAGCTGTGAGACCCAAAGCCAGAGCCAGGAGCTTCTTCCAGGTCTCCCACGTGGGTGCAGGGGCCCAAGCACTTGGGCCATCTTCTACTGCTTTCCCAAGCCATAGCAGAGAGCTGGATTGGAAGTGGAGCAGCCAGGACTCGAACCAGCATCTATATGCAATGCTGGCACCGCAGGTGGAGGCTTCGCCCACTGCACCACAGTGCTGGCCCTCCTGCTCATTCTTGCAAAAGACTAAGCACCTGGACAAGAAGACAGAATGCACCTTGCAGTCCAACTGTCCTGCACTGGGGAGCCAGCACCTCCTCCCTCGGGGACAGAGGGTCCCCCGGCTTCCTGCGTCACAGTGGGGGAGGGAACCTGTGATCCAGACCTCATGACAGCCAGGTGGAGGCTTGGTCCTCCTCTCATAGCCCCTCTGTGGGGGCTGCCTGTGCCTGGTGCAGACAGGGGCATTGCACGGGCTGGGGGCAGCCACAAACCCGCGTCCCCCTCAGGCGTCGGGTCAGCTGAGGTACGCAGTCCTGTGCCGAGTGAGATTGATGCCTGGCACCGAGGGGCCACGAGGACGAGGGGGAGTGGGCAGTGTCCCCATCTGCTATCTGTTAGGTATTGAAGTTTGACTATCCGTTGTTAAGTTCTACGATTTCCTTTTTTTGTATTTTCTATTGTTCTGGTGCCTGTTGCATTTTGTCATCTAAGTTCTTGAGCTTATTAATCACAGTGAGTTTATAAAGTCTGTGAAAATTCCAATAAAAAAAAAAGAAGGAAATGGGAAGTGGCCTGCCCGTGCCCGGAGCCACGGCCCGGCCAGCTGGCGGAAAGGAAGGCAGCTGGGCTCAGCGCTTCTCTGCGATGCTCAGACCAGGCCAGCCCGGGACCAGTTCCTCCTGGAAGCCCTCCGCTCCCGGGAAAACTGCAACAGGAGCTGTGCTGATCCGAATTAGGAGCTTCCTCCGGGTCTCCCACGTGGGTGCAGGGGCCCAAGGACTTGGCAATCTTCTGCTGCTTTCCCAGACCATAGTAGAGAGCTGCATCAGAAGTGGAGCAGCCGGGACTTGAACCGGCACCCTTATGGGATGCAGGCACTGCTTTACCCACCACGCCACAGCACCGGCCCCGGGCTGCGACCTCTTCAAGTGACCTTGGGATGAGGCTTTCTCTCCTCGGCCCTCAGTTTCCCCGTCCTCCTCAGGGTCCCACTTAGAAACACGAGCCAGAGAAGTACAGAACAGTGGCCGGA